TCATTTTCACAATACATACAACAAACATCCAATGCTCACTATTCCCAATAAAGCAGACAGCCATCTCCTAAACGCCAGTCAGGATTGCATCTCTGAGGCCACAGTTATTGTATGTCTGGGCAGGGAATAAGAGGTCTGGCAGCTTTACTCTTGAGTTGAGTCCTAGAGTTAGAGTCCAGTGATCTTCTCTTCTGACCCTCATTATATAGTTTAAGTGACAGTCCTTTTCCTGTACCTTTACCAATGATTTTATGTAAAGCCTAAGAATACCCTATATCTAAAAAAAACATAACTTCTAATGGACTAAAACAATTTCCCTAGAAGCTGAAAAACTTAGTTTCTACTTATTGGCAAAAGCAAATTTAACAAAAATTCACACAAGCACTCAGTAATAAACTTGCAGAAACTCAAGGTTAGCTTGTCCATACTCCCTTCCATTCCTTGGAATATGAGATTTTATTGTATCTTTCCCTGCTAGTAATGCACCTGTTAGCAGGATACACAAACCCCAGTTTGGGTGCTGAGTGTTTGTAGGGTTGCCAGGTGCCCAGCATTTTTGCCTCCTGGCTAGGGGGAAAAAATCAGAAAATACTGGACATCTTAGGTGTCCGGTATTCTCTGAATTTTTTTTACCGGACAGGAGGTGAAAATACCGGACTGTCCGGGTGAATACCAGACACCTGGCCACTCTACACCTAGCCCAAGGAGGAATGGCATGTTCTGCAATTCATTGAGCTGGTCCATTATTATGGGCATACATATATTTGTGCTCCGACAGAATCTAGAGGATACTCATGATAAAGCGGGGTGCATGCCTTAATAACCGAATGGTTCCTGTATTCATTGGGTGGTACATTCAAAGTCAGTCATGTCAACTACTGGCACAGAGCTGGGACAGTACACAGAAGGAACATACACAGACAAACACACACAGGGTTTATATCTTCATCAAATTCTTTGTTTCATTTGTTTGAAGCCATAGTAACTCAACTCATTTTTGCAGTACATTGTTATATATATCATAGTCCATGCTATGCTTTACTACAAAAAGTAGCATATCACTTTAAAAATATTATTAAGGTGACATATGTCTCTGCATTTCTATTTTATAGTTCTCATTTCAGTCATTTATACACTTACTTAGTAAATGGAATAAGTCATAAAAAAGATAATTAGGCTGTTGATTGTTTATGAAAAAGAAACATTAATTTTCTTTAGTTTCAGTACAATTGTATTTTGTGGTTAAAACTTGATTCCTCACCCACGCATTAATATTGCAAAAAGGATATTTGCTGCAGGCAAAGATGTTAATATTACACATTCAATGCAGTCTACAATTTTCCTGTCAGAACATATTACAGGACAAATGAAATTTCAGAATAAATCAGATCCTGGCATGTTGTTGACATTTACCTCTCTTCAGTTTCCTATATGGAGACACAGAAATTGAACTGATATACTGCAGAATTGTTATATAGAGCACAATCCTGCCAAACTGTGAGGGTTTTCAACTTCAACCTAGTTTTACAAAATAGCTGCTGTATCCTGAAAGCACAAAGTTTTTAAAAGTTAGTTTAAATGTACTCAATTTTTTCTCTCTCTTTAGACCTGTTCCTTAGAGTATCAGTTTGGATTAATTTGATTAGGCAATTGGATGTTTTAAATTATGTCAAACAAGGGCTATAACAATGGCTGTTCCAGAAAGGAAAAACAAAAACCACACCTTTCCCCGCCCCTTACATTCTAAGCCTATGCTCAGTTCTAGAATTGAAATCAAACAAGATCAAAATATTTCAATGTTTATTTCCATGTTCTGTCCATAATCCTGAAATAATAATACTTAACTTTTACATATGGTAGCCGTTTACATCTGTACAGCCTTTACAGCACTAATTCTCAGCATGCCTCGGAGGTAGTATAAGTTAGTATTACACCCATTTTGCAAATGAAATAATTGAGGCAGAGAGGTTAAGTTTCCCAAATGAGTGGGAGAGCCCCCATTATCTTCCAGGAGGATCAAATGTGACTCCACCAGATCATGTAGTGTTTCTCATGAAAGCTCCACTCCATCTTGCAGATTCATTGGAAAAAGGTAATTTTAATAAACATCTGATTTTCCAGGCAGATGGGACCATTTGTGAAATAAGTAATAATTACTGATGGTCTATTTCACCTGAAGATTATTTTTTTTTTTTATCAAGCCTTTGGTAGTAGAAAGGAAAGCTGCCTATTGTTCAGCAAGGTACTGTTAAGCAGAATATTAATTCAGGTGCATACAAACTATTACAGGCTTTGTATTGTTTTATTAAGAGAGATGCAACAGTTAATTGCTTATGTAGTCTTACCAATCTTGCCTCCATCCCAGGGACAAAATCCTGGGTCCATTAAAGTCAATGAGAATTTTGCCATTAACTTCAGAGGGGCCAGATATCACCCCAGTAGTAGAATACTCGCAGTTCTCAGATTATGACAATATCGCATTCTTAAATAACAGCATCCCATAATCAGCAACTGATTTTGCCACAGCCACAGTCCACTGAATGCTAGAACTTGTCTGGTGACCAATTTACATCTTGAATTTATGACCTAAAAATCAATAAAATGGCATACTTGTTGATTAGGATAATCTGGCATAAAAAATAATTCAGTGCCTCATTTGATTCCTGTCTTCCTTACCTGATTTGAAACACACACATTCAGGCTATGTCTACACTTGTGGGTTCTTGTGCAAGTATGGCCGTTCTTGCGCAAGAATCTGCAGAGCGTCCACAATGCCCACCCACTCTTGCGCAAGGAGATTTACAGTACAGTGTAGTAAGAGAGGGCTTCTTGCACAAGAGCTACACTCTTTTTTAACAGGTGTAAGCCCTCTTGCGCAGGAGTTCTTGTGCAAGCGAGCAGTGTGGATGCTTGGCAGGGATTTCTTGCTCAAGAAAGCCCTATGGCTAAAATGGCCACCAGAGATTTCTTGAGCAAGAGAGCATCCACACTGCCATGGGCACTCTTGTGCAAAAGCACAGCTCGCACATGGCAGTGTGGACGTTTTCTTGCACAAGACTTCTTGCACAAGAATCCTTGCGCAAGATGTTCTTGCGCAAGAAGCCGCGAGTATAGACATAGCCTCACTTAGGACATAAGTAAGCAGTTAGAACACTAGGGTCTCTTTTTTTCTGAGAGGTTCTTGTCTTTACTGGGTGTTCGGTTGCATGGTGAATCATAAATGTCATTTACCTCCTCATCCCCCAGAAATGCAGTGTGTTATTTTTGGACTTTCAAATACATCCAACAGATTCTGCATCTTCAGTTCCTATGAAGGAGAAGGAATAGAATTTATTCATCTTGCTCCAAAATACTAGAGCCCTATTACTTGAAATACAGGACAAAAATGTGCGAGAATCAGCAATATATCGTCCCAGATATAGCATCATAACTATTTAACTGTCCAGTACAGGGTAATGATGCACATTAACAAGTTCTTCATAGTATTATGTAGCTACCTGATCAGTAACTCAGTCTTTTGCTTTTTAATATTAAATGCTACAAGAATACCAAGACAAATCCACAAAGAAAATTTTTCTGATTAACTTCATAAAAAATATTAGCAAACACTAGGACACAAATATATATTAGGAATCAGCATATTGTACTTAATGCTCGTTCCTTAGAATTTATCACTCTTATTTTGTATAAGGGGACCTTCTCAAGAGGCAGAACTTAATATCTCGGTTGACAAAAAGTTTAAAAAGAAGCTGAAATAACATTAGTTAGGTGTTCAGTGAATGACAGCTGCTTTTCCTCACTGCCACATCTCCATCCAACTAGCCTACAGACATGATATATTTTGAAATGTGCTTTGGTGGTGATACAAACTGTGTTACCAGATTAACACAGACAGACAGGCAGTTGAAGCACATAGAATTCAGAAATCTACATCTTATTTTTAGTCAACTTCATGAAGTCTGAGAGGAAAAAAAAGTTAATAGTTTAACTATACCCCCTAAAGAATACTTAACAAAGAAGAGTTTGAAATTCATACACTGACTATTTTTAATAAGCAGAAGGAAAGACATATATAAAATAAAAGGATATTAGAAATTAAATCGTGTTGACATCAAAGAAATGTTATCTGAGACTAAGGGTGTGTCTAGACTACAGGGTTTTGTCGACAAAAGTGGACTTTTGTTGACAAAACTAAACCTGCGTCTACACTACCGCTGAGTTCTGTCGACATAACGTCGACAGAACTCAGCAGTTTTGTCGACGCTGGTAAACCTCATTTTACGAGGCATAACGCCTTCTGTCAACAGAGTTCTGTCGACAGAAAGCGTTATTGCATCTAAACTGTCCTTTGCGTCTACACTGCCATGTCGACAAAGCAGCTTGCTTTGTCGACAGAACTGAATGTAGTGTAGACGCTCTTTGTCGACAGAAGCTTTGTTGACAGTATCTGTCGACAAAACTTCTGTCGACAAAAGCCTGTAGTCTAGACATACCCTAAAAGAGCAAATGACATTAGAAATAGCAAACATGCTATAAGAAATTACAAAAATATAGTGAAGGACAATTGCCATTTGCACTTCTACACCACCTTTTATCTTAGGATCTCCCAGAGTGCTTAGTAATAATGCTGTCCATTTTACAGAATACCCTAGTGAAGCCCACAGAGGTTACAGTCAGAGTTTTCTAACTGCTACTGTTTTGGAAGACCCATTTGAGACATTTGAAAACTTCTGTACATCCAAGAAGTGCTGCCCACACAAAACTCCAACTAAATGTTGTAGGAGCTGCATTGCTCAGCACTCAGGAAAAACAAAAACAAACCAAACAAACAAATATCAGAAACTAGGTGTCTGAAGTTAGATACCCCAAATTATGAAATCTGTTGTTTTGTTTCTTGCTGAATTGCATACCATGAATGAAGCCAAAGGCAAGAATAGTAATGTAGGAGGAGGAGAAACACAAGAAGACAAAGATCAGGTGATTAATTGGAAAACAAGATGAAAGTCTAGGTTTATACATCACTGATAAAATCATTTCTGATGTAACACGTTACTTAACAGTCTTGCTAAGAAATGGAACACTTAAGGGACAATACAGTTAAAAAGGATTTTGAATTTTTCATTTAATCCAAGAAGCAAATAAATATTAATATTGTTATTTGTAGATAAATCCTACTTAGGCATTGCTATAAAACCAAAAGAACCATCCCTTAGTGGAAATTCTGCAAATCAGCTTTAATTTTCAATGGGCTTAAAGTCTCATGCCAGAAGGCCTTGCTCATATACTCAAGAGCATTTTTATTTTGTTTTGTTTCCCTGTGTTGCTTTTAAAGAAAGATTTCTGGTACTCACAAACTAGGGATGATCTTTCACTCCTCTCTCCTCCTCCAACAAAGAAGTCCACACCCGCAGCTTCATTGAAACTATTGGAGATAAATCTGCTTACAACAGGAGCATGTTCCAGAGTCTTCTGAAATCAATGGGAGTTATTCCATTGTCTTTAACAGGCTTTGGATCAAGGCTCAGCTGAGGCTTGGCATGACTAAATCCGTCTCTGTTTTCCTCTAAATTATGTCAAGAATCAATCCTTTGCTGCCCATCCCTACCAACAAAACCCTTCTTTAGATATCATTTCACTCCAGGAATACACAACATCTGTCTCTGGTGTTCCTAACCTTCAGCTAACCCTCAGAATTCAGCTGCAACACTCGCTTTTCCTTGCCAAAGCAATCACCATCCTCTGCCTCTCTTCATACTCTTTCGCTATCTTCCAGTTCCAGCTCCTCATGAATGTCCCCAAGGCTTGAAACCTCACATTGTGAGGACAAATTATAAAAACTGTTGCAGAAATGCAAATTATTTTATGTTGTTTAAAAAGAAACTGAAATGCAATTTTAATGGGAACTAATTATCCAAATTCCCTCAACAGTTTTGAAAAATCTCAGGACCTGATTCTCATTTACACTGTTTTTTTGCATGGTAAAGGGACTTTAGTTTGGATGAAACTGTAATTTACAAGAGTTTGAATGTAATTTACACCCACTTCAGAACTCCTTTAAACTGATGAAGCAATGAAAAGTGTCAAGAATGCACGAGAACCAGGCTATTTTAGTATATTCTTAATTTTTTTGAGAGAATAAAATGTTGGAAAATACATATTCAGTACAAAGGCATTTTCTACGTGTGTGAGAAGATATCAAGAGTAAATTAAAGATTAGCTTCATGCTGAGGTTTACATTGTATGAGAAGATGGGAAGGAAAGAAGACACAGAAAAGGTGAAAAACAGATGCAGTGTGGCATCAAGAAAGGCAACATTATTTTAAAATGTTCCAGTAAAAAGGTGAGTAAAAACTATTCCATATACTAGTGTATATGACAAATTATTTAGCTTCTAGATGTATGATAAACTAATTAAATCTTGCTAGGATGTAGCAAATGGTTCATTAAAGAGATCTTTTTAGACGTAGGGAAGATTCCATCCATAAGTAACTGACAGCAAATTGAGGCTTGCAGAGAGAGTGAATGCCAGTTTGGATATTTCCAAAACATCCTGCTTCCCTGTTGTCAGCAGCTGCCAGATCTACATGAAGGTCAGAACTCTCACCGGCTATTGTGTGGTAACTGAAGAGAAAGAATGTAAGCTAACATCAACATGTTAAGAAAATTAATGAATACTGTCAATACAGTAGATTGTCTTGTCTGTTTCCCACTTATTCTTACAGAATACAGACTGTTTCAGGAAACCCAAGGATTTCTCGAATGGAAATTATACCTAAGGGCCAAATTTCCTTTTTACTAGGTTAATGTTCCTCCAGGTTCAGGGAAGAAAAGACTGTTTATTTTTCTCATATACTTCCTCTTGTGTAAGTTCTCTTAGCATCTAAAGCAGGTCTGGAAGGAGGGATAAACTAGAGACTGTCCTTTAAAAAGAGCCTTTGAGATTTGTGAAAATGAGGGAAAGGACTGTGTCCTGGGGTTCCTATTTGTAACACATTTCTAACCGCAGGACCTAACAGTAAAGGAACTCCGGCCCAAGAAAACTGCAGGTCTGCCTATAGAGCACTGCAATGGGAGAATCCCATATTTGGGACTGCCCTAAATACTGCATGGCACTTCTTATGTCCTCTTCCTTTTTTTCTGTCACCTTTATTCTTTTCAGATTGTCCTCCCTTCCTCACCATTCCACCCACTTCTGCCCCTCAGCTTCCTCTTTGTCATTGTATCTTACAATATGTTCCCAACCATGGTCCTCCTGCACTGGCTATCCTCACCATGTCCACTCCTTTCAGAATTTATCCACTAGCTACCCCTCCTCCACTGCATTACATTTCAGCTCCTTGTCACCATGTTCAAAGCCCTGCATGACTCACTTCCAGCCATATACAATACCAGCTTTTTACCTCTCAGCCCCTCCAATCCACCAAAGCGGCTATGTTGTATTCTATGAAATACTGGCTCATTCATCCATTTCTCAGTTTGTTATAGACACATTCCTTTGTATGTTTACATGCTATCTTTTATACATGGAATATCCTTCCTGAATTCATCTGCAAACTCCTAGTCTCTTTTGTATCCAAATACCTCCTAAACACCCACTTCTCCCAGAAACCCACTTCTGAGGAGTAATGTACAATATTGCAATGACATGACCTAACACAACTCTGAAATCTCAACTTCACCTATATCCCTTTCTCTTACACACTGTCTCTTTTTAGATTGTGAGATATGTGGGGCAAGGGTTTGTCCTTCTTGACTGTCTGAAAATTGCTTACATTACATTAGCTGAATTACCAGAAACAAATAATTACAGTAACTAAATAATAATAAAATAAATAAAATATGAATAGGTAGAATGAAAAATTCAGGTGTTCTCTAATGACCTTGTTTCTGTGTTCCTTTCCAAAACCCTACAAGCTGTCACTGCTTGCTGTTGCTTTCCATGACAAATAATTTTGACTAAATACAAAACTGTTTTTTAAAATACTGTTTATAGGGGAATCAAAGGTGCCTGATACTCCCTCTGAGATTCCTGTGGAACTACATGAGGGATTTAACCATACCTACTCTATATTTGAGTTTGTCTTTCTGTGAGTCTGTGCATCTGTCTGTTTCTTCAAGAACTCTTCCTAAACGGTAAGAGCAAGGACCTCCAAATTTGGTATGCAGCTTCCTCTTATAACTTAAACCAAAGTAAGAGTTTGGTTGTGCCACGACAATGGGTTAAAGGAAAGGGAGGGCTCTGGTAGAAGAGATAGGGAGGCAGCAAGGGGCCAGAGATGGGAACTGGGGCAGCTATAACCCCACTGGGGCGGCAGAGGTCAGGGGCGGAGAAAGGAACAGCTGTCCACTGTATCTTTGAGAGGATTTGTCTGTGTGTCTATCTGTGTGCCTGTCTGTCCCCAGTTGGAGGACATGCACCCCTCCCTCAGCTGTGCCCGCTAGAGATGCAGCAGCCATGGAGAAATGCTTCTCGCCTGTCTCCCTTTTTTTTTTCTTTCTTTCAAAAAAACTCCATTTTGAAAAAAAAGTGGTGGACATGTTTATGCTAATGAGGCATGGGATATTTAAATCCCTGCTTCATTAGCAATTTCAATGTGCCTAATCTACATCTATCTGTTGACAGAGAGGTGTAGTCTAGACACACTCCTGGGTGAGACCAAAGGTCCACCTAGCCCAGTATCCTGTCTGCTGATAGTGGCCAATGCCAAGTATGTAATCATCAATGTATCCTCTTGGAAAGGATAACTTCAGTAACCAACTAGAGAGAGAGTCTGTGGAAATGGCCTTCATATGCAAACATGACACATTTACCCAGAGACTGAACAAAGACATTTCATGGATGGGCCATTATATTCAACAATCAAATGACATCAAAAGCTAAATATCAAGTACTTACAGCCCTCTCGATTAGCCTCATTTAGCACGGACATTTTGTTTGACAGTTTTTCCTCTCCCTCTCTCCCATCTTTTTTCTGCTATATATTTGTGCCTCTATACCTCTTGCTCCATTCATCTGAAGATGACACAGGGTTGTGGGTTGTGCTCACAAAACCTCATGATACTATCTCTATTTTTTGTTAGTCTTTAAGAGTACATCTACACTGCATGCTTATTTCAAAATAAGCTATTCCAGAATAGTTATTCCAAAATAGCTTATTTCGAAATAGCATGTCTATACTACAGGGACAGGGAAGCCTCAAAATTAGTCCAAGGCAGGCTTTCCTAATGTAGATGTGCTATTTTGATTTAGAGCCGTAGGAGACACTGGGGAGGAATAACTTAGAATGGCCCTGGTGAGGGGCTATTTCAAAATAGCAGTAATGGAGTGTCTACACATGCCTTATTTCAAAATAGCTATTTTGGAATAGGTGTTATTCTTCATAGAATGAGGTTTACAGTTTTCAGAATATGCCATCTGTTATTTTGAAATTTTTTCAAAATAATGGAATGGCTGTGTAGATGCTCGCATTTTTATTTTGAAATAACACTAGTTATCTCATACTAGCAATGTAGTTTAGATGCACTGTAAGGTGCTGCAGGACCATTTGCTAAGCACACCATCCCTGCCCATCCTGGCTAATAGCCATTGATGAATCCATGAATACTTTATACACCAATACAAAAAAAATTATATATTACACCTGCTTGTGATTCCCCTCTTTATGCAACTCAGGATCGCAATAGCTTTTTTTGGCCAAAACTGCCCAGTGGAAGCTTATGTTCAGTTGATCATCTACCAAGACTTCCAAATCTTTTCAGAGTCATCCTCATGAGAATCATTTCAAATTCTAAAAGAAACTCAGTGAGTATATTCACTTTTGTTTTAATGACAAGAACCTTGACATAACTTAATTATCGAAGAAAATGTTTTCTAATGTTTACTTTAAAAAGAGGAGAAAATGTTCAGAGGCATGTAGGCAGGGCTGGATTAAGGAGGGGGCTAGCCGGAAAGCTGCCCGGGGTGCCAATCTATGGGGGGCACCTGATCGCAGCTGTAAGGAATGGCTCGAGCCGG